GGGGGGTACTGGCATGTATATAAAAATGTTAAAATGAAACAGAAGGCAGGTTATCAAAGACATGTGTTTGACTGTTCTAATCAGGCAGTGAGGCAATAACTGGTGGGACATACCGCTCTGGGCCACTGCTGTCTGGGACTGATACACTGGCATTGTACTGCATGGGCCCAAGTGGTGGAGGAGGTGGTGGTGGTTGTGGTGGTGGAGGAGGAGGAGGAGGAGGAGGAGGTTGGCATTGGGCGGGGGCATTCAATCACATCGTGTCAAGTTAGGTGCCCGAATAAGGAGGGGCACAGATTATGGGCGGGGCCAACCGGGAGTGTCAGGTGGGCGGGCGGGCGTTCGGGGGCGGGCGGAGGTTGGGCCAACGTCAAGGTGGGCAACGCAGGAGGGGCATGTCGATCCAGAACATGGGCAACAGAGGAAGGTGGCCAAAAGTAAAAACAAAAAAGTAAAAAAAGGAGAAAGGAAGAGGGGGAGAAGGAATACAGTTTTAATTGAATACAAGCTACACTTTGTCCCAAAAAGTGAAACGAGAGAAACTGTTGAGAGTGAAGAACAGAAAGTGTGACCTGGACAAAGATAAGTTCAATAAGTTCTCGGAGGCTCTACACAGATTCACATGTCTTAAAAAATAAAAAAAATCTCTCCATTTAGGTTTGCAGGAACCTTTTGAGGGGAAACTGGAATCAGGTTCAACTGGAAACCAAACTCTAAGGGGGGGGTTCCTGATCTGTCCGGCTTCATGATGTCAAACAATAAAAGCAACAGGCAGGAAATCTGGGGCCTGTTTCTGTGGGAATCCAGCAAAAAGGGTTTGAAATTAGAGGGGATTGAGGAGTGAATCTCTCCAATTAAAAATGCCTCTCAGTAAACTACGAGTACAGCTCTGCAGTTACAACCCAAAAAGCCCTACGCAGGATCAGCCATAAAAGGATGCATTCATTATCCGGCTAAACCTTCCCCTGATTTTCTGTTTACTCACATCTGTGCGCAGGGCTTTTATGTTCTTTCCACCTTTTCCAATAACAGCCCCGGCATTCTGCGAGGGAAAAGAGAAAGCTTTGATCAATACTCGAAAGGACAAAAGAAAGAGCAAAAAAAAAACAATGCTGCCCGCTGTGTAAGCGCTCTTTACTTTGCTCTGAAGCAGAACGCGCAGCTCCACCATCTCGTCTGCGTTGCGAGAACGTTTGAATGCTTGTTCCTCCTCCATGTCCTCAGCAGGGCGTTTACCTGGGAGAGAAGCCAAGGTTCAAATCTGTTCAGCAACTTCAACTAATCTATTTACAGAGGAGAGGATCACATGTTTTGCTTATTGATGTTAATTTGCTATAATCTGGAATATATGAGAGGGGATTAAAATGAACATAGTGCTTGAATGGAGGATAGATGCATGGGGATAGCTAAATATGTAACATAATCTACCCAAAACATTGCTCACTGGGCAGCTGACTGCAAACTGGACCAAGCCCAGCACCAACATGGACACTTCCTGGATTAAAACCGAGGCAAATCTGCTCAGGGCCTACAGAGGAGCAGTATCCTGGACGGGAGAATCCCTGAACCATCTGACACGTCCACATGCTACGAAACGCCGGCCAGAATTGTTTTCCTCCTCTTTCGCACAGCAACTAGTCAGTATACATCTACAACGTGTGTCTCGGACAGGACAAATTCATTATCTTTCTCAGTGCACGAGCTCATTCGTGCAGATGCTAACGTGTGGTCTGAATATTTGGAGGAGCCTACCGTTAGTGTCAGTGTTGCTGAATGTAGTGTCTTCGTCTTGCTGGTCGACTTTCATCTCCATCTT